CAGTCATCTGTCGCCAGGAAGGTTTCTTCCAATCACAATCAGAGGCATGATTCTCCTGAGACAGGTAGCAGCGGAGCCTCCGCTGGGGTCCGCAGAGAGCGATGGTCCCCTGGGACAGAAGGCAGCCCAGGCTCCTGTGGGCGCCGCAGCCCCCACGCAGCGGTGGCTCGGATAGTTTGTTATTTCCAACTCATCCATATGGAAGCAAACAGAGACACCCAGATGGCTGCATTCACAACAGAAGAGCAATGCCTTTAAAAAAACCCTGATGGCAGTGTAGCTAATGAGTCACCCAGTGCAGTTCTGCCAAACGCTGCCATGCTTAGGAGCGAACGAGACTCCCCCGGATCATTTGATAAAGACAGAATGTCAAGACATTTGCTGCCGTCACTTAGCGCCCCACTCTCCCCCATGCCCCAGGGGTGGTTATTTTACAGCGTGGAATTACACACCACTTTAACAAACCCCAGGTGCAAAGTCGCAACACCTGCCTCGTACATTATCTTCACACCGGATTTCACACACTGTTACTGCCAGCATAGCAGAGCCCAGCTTGGAGCATCTCAGTGCCGAGCTCTGCAGCAGAGTTTTCTAGCCCCGCGGGTGCTCAAGGTACAGGAATTCTGTGCCCCACTGGGAGAAGGGGCGCCCATCCAGGAAGGACTTGGTTTCCAAATATACAGCAAATACACAGCCAAGCAGGCCGCCGGGGAGAGGCATACTCGGTTTTGATGGGCTCACACAACATGTCTGTGCTCCTTTTAAGATGTACTAGCAGCTGAAGGAAGAAAAGATCACAGCAGAAATAGCTCTCAACACTTTCCCCTTACATGATAGCTGTCCCGCAAAGCTCTGACTACAGCCTCAAAACCCAGGTGGGAATAAACCTCCTCCTTACCTACTAGCCAATGACATCCTGGGTCACTATTGGCTGAAGAGAGTCATGTAACAAAGTCTCTACTGTTTACCTCCTGAGGGGTCAACAATGCCTAGTTATCTGGAGCAGCAGCCACCAATCAGCACTAATATGCAAATCAGGGCATCCTGGTTGGCTGAAAATGAACATTCACTTCCTAGTAGGTAACTGATACTATTTCCTGGATCAGAAGACTGACAAATCTTCTAAAGAGTTTCCCGGTTTATGCATTTAAATGGAATTCGAGACTACAGCTGTTTAAAGGATTGTGAAATAAGAAATGCAAGTTCCATATCTTGGCAAGGTTACAACTGTATGTTTCTGTTAGCTTCTTCAACAATTAAGAGAAATCTATCCTTTGTTTTCATTAACTAAAACACCCCTCCCTGCACATAATCTCTTCCTCCCCCCCAAACCAGGACCCACAAATTTTAAAAAGCCTGGAAATCAAAAATTAAGGTCAGCATACCCTGAATTGTGACCGTGAACCCTTGCTTATCTACCATGAATGTGGGTAAAATGGAAACAGTTTGAGGTAAATTATGACAAGGATTCTATGAGCTTCTCAGTCTGTCTCCTGACCTCATTAGCCTACATCCACCACATCTGTGTCACTTACCTGTGGAGTCTAAGAATGGTGGAGAATATGGCTGTGATTTTGCATGAACATTTCTTCCACTGACCTCCCATGAACTTGCCTGCCGATTCTGTCAGCTACTAAATTCAAGGTCCAGCCCTTCAGAGATCTGCAGCCCCAGATGCAATAACTACACATGGGTGCTAAGTCTCACAGCATAACAACTTCGCTTTTAGTTTTAAAAATATCTTTTCCTCTTCAGGCTTTAAGCTCATAGGGCTCTTAGCTATTCTGGTTCTGTGTCTGCACAACACCTAGCATCCTGCTGCCTTAGTCCATGGCTAGAGCTCCTAGATCAGGGTTTCCCAACCTATGGGTCAGGACTCAAATATGGGTCGCCATTACATTTCAAAACTGTTGCCAGGTGTCTCCCCAGGTGGCTCTTAAGGAGCCATTCATGCATTTTTGAAATTGCCCTGGGTCACCAGGTCTTCCTGAATTGTCAAAATGGGTCCCCATCTGGAAAAGGTTGGGAACCGCTATGCTAGGTGTTACCACAATATAGATCATAATAATTAGAACTGATGATTTTAAAATTCTAGAATACTTTTCAGATCTGTATGGGTGGATCTATTGTGCCCGTGGGCAGAGCCTCATGTAAGGATCTGCCCCCCTGAATTTGACTGCAAGACTAGGTTAATTTTCTGGGAGGGGTTTCCCCCTCTTCACAGTCACTTTCTGCTTCTCGAGCCCTAGCAGATAGCTGCTGAGCTGGGTTCACAGCAAGCCAAAAACCTGTTCCCAATTGAAATTTAAAACAATTAAAAAAAACCCATTCAGTTGTATAAATATAAATTCATTTTAAAATACATTTAAAAACCCTGAACTCTGGCTCTGCAATCCAGCTGACAATGTCCCTGAAAGTTTCTGGATTGAACTCAGCAGTGCTAATAAAAACTCAGTGACACCAGTGTAGCCTGCCACACAAGTGGAAAAGAACAGGCCAGGGAGCCCTAGATCCATGCTGCAGTTGTGGGTAGGCAAGTATCACTAACACCACACTTAGGAAATACAAGGTCTGCACACAAGCAACTACAGCCAATCATGGGGAACAGATAATATTTGAATGAAAAGATTTCTATGTATGTATGCGTAATGTCACACTAAGCCAGGGGTCTGTACCAAGGTGATCACTGACCATCAGAAGGGCATGTTTGCTACAGCATTGTCGGCAGCAGCCCAGGGTATGTCTACATTGCAGAGTTTTTCCGGAAAAAAAAACTACACTTACATCCACACTGCAATTGCGTTCTTTCGACAGAAAGTCAAAAGAATGCAGGGGGTTTTCCGACAGTGGTAAACCTCTTTCTACGAGGAAGAAGCCTTTTTCCTAAAGAGCTTTTTTGGAAAAAGGCATGTGTGGACAGGGAAGAGGGTTTTTTTGCGAAAGAAAAGGCCTCCAAGAAAAAGCACAGGTGCCCTCCTGGTGGCCACTCCGTCCATAGTAATCACAACTTAAATGCGAGATAGCGTCCAATCAATGTGGATGCTATCTTTCGAAAAAGCAGATCGCTTTTTCGATGCACTTTTGCTGGGTGGACGCTCTCTTTTGAAAGAAGTTTTTCCGGAGCTCTTCTAGAAAAGCTTCTTCCAAAAGAAGCCTGCAGTCTAGACACGGCCCCATACTCCTTGCAGTTCAGAAACCCCAAAGGGAAGATCAAACGACCTGCCCTGCTGCTATGCCTGGTGTTTGCCAAGCTCCACCACAACTCAGATACAATTCTAAATTCCCAGCAGAATGAAACTACAGGAGCAACAGGGGCATTACCATGACCATCACCCATTGTTAAGGCTCTCTGCAGGTGCCAATGGAGACACCATGAGGCCACACAGTTAGAGAGAGATCTCAGGTACTTGTGCTGTTCCTGGGCACCGTAGGCCAAACTGGATCCAGCCTGATCCCACCTAGAGCAGCTGGGTGAAACTTACTAGGATCACATCAGTTTTCTTCATCGAGTTTAAGGCCAGGAGGGACCATTCTGATCACCTGGTCTGACCTCCTGAATAATGCAGGCCAGTGACTCTCACTCAGTGCCTTCTTCATCAAGCCCTTACTTTCCACCTGAACTATAGTAGATCCTGCAGAAAGATACCCAACCTGGCACCATGTGGCTCAGGGGAATGTGATTGGCCTGTATCCAGACTTGACCCAGTATTCATGGGAGCAAAATGGGAAGGCCAATCAAACTTTAGCTCTGGCCTAGGAATCAGGAGACCTGGGTTCTATTCCTAGCTCTGCCACTGACCTACAGTGTGACCTTGATCAACTCACTCCTCTCTCTGTGCCTCTGTTTCCCCTCCTGTCCTTTGCCCATTTGGACTATAAGCTCTTTGGGGCAGGGACTGTTTCTTACTGTTTTTGTCCAGTGCCAGCACCACAGGCAAACAGAACCAGTAAGGGAACCAGCCAGAATGAAGGGTCAGAAATCCTGAGCAATGAGGACAGAAGATGAGACTGAAGTATTTTGGTCACTTCTAGGGTAGTATTTGTGTCTGTGTTTCTCTTTGCCACTAGAGACATCCACAATGACAGGTAGCTAGACTGACTGCCAAAAGAAATTAAGAAATAAACTCTGATCTCTAAACATTTGGAATCCCTCCTTTCAAAAAACCATATTAAAGAGTGGGAAATCCCTCTGACGGAGAATGAAATGAGATACAACACGTCTCCCCCGGTGTGGGTAAATCTATTTCAGGCATGACACTGGGTAGGAATTCTGAGCTGTGTGCAGCATGGTCATTTGTATGCTGTCCACAGAGGCTGTGGGATAATTTTTTTCCCACTTGAGTGTGGCCTGGTCTTGCAAGAGCGTGGGGAAAACTGAGCCTAGAGAGCCACCAGGTTTTTGCTTACATCTCCACTCATTTCCCAAAGATCTCTCTAGATTGCAGTCACAGGGTGCCACTGCAGCTTGCGTATATGTCCTGAGCTAACTTTAATCTAGGTAGCTTGCATCTTGGAATGGTGAAGCTATTTCACCATGGGCAGGACAAGCCCACCTAGCCCACTGGACTAGGTTAGGGTTATCCATGCTGAATCCCGCATTGCTGTGACTTCGCCGGGTCAATACCCGAGCGATCTAGATTAAAGCTAGCTTGGGTGTATCTACTCAAGATGCAGTCACACCTTGTGATTTGTATGAACATACCCATCGAGAGAACACCTCTCCAGACTGAGTAGAACTACACCAGGGAGTGCAAAGTAACAGGCTCCAGCATCCATTACAAAGGAGAAATCAGACTAGTGGGGTTCCCTGTTTGCTGGATTGAAGACCAACTCCCACTGGCAGGTGAGCCCTTGTGTCATTTACATCACCTCAAATAACACAACCTTCCATTGTGGCACATGCCAATCAGAAGCATGGTGAGAGACACAGGGGCCTTACGAAGACACAGCATACCACAAGCATGGATGCTTCGGAAGAGACAAACATCACATTGCTCATATCTGCTTGCATAAATACCACTGAGCATTTATAATCATCCATCAATAATTCCCTACCTACAAGCTTCCTGTACAGACCTAAATCTCATGCTGACAAAATACCAAGAGGAGTTTTTGAGGTAGACATGCAGATGCGCGCGGATACTAGAGAAAGTGTTAGCAGCAAACGCAGTGCAAACCTGCAGAAGGAAGTCATGCAGCCTGATGTAAGAAAGAACGGGACTGCAGGCTAGTTCTCCAGACTATGCAATCAGAGTACTTTCACACACATTTAAAAAATTAAGACTGCAACATGGCTCAAGGTTATCAGGATGACTTTTCAGCTCCAGAGACTTTTCAGTATTATCACAAAGCGGTTAGTATTTACAGAGAAGACCTCAACCAAGAGCAAGAGATATTATGGCTACACTTACACTGTGAGCCAGGAGCACAAGTCCCTTGCTTGTGTACCTGCTTGTACTAGTTCCATAAGATCGATGATGAGAGTAACTAGCCATGCAACCATGGTAGCCCGGGCAGCGGGAGCAGAGTCACAGCTGAGTTGTGCCAAGCCAAATATACCCCCATGGGTTTAGCAAGCAAGGGAATCACACCCTTAGCTTGTAATGTAGATGTAGCTTAATACAGAGAGTTGCCCTGAGATCACACTACTTTAGAGACTGGCCTGAAAAATACTAAATTCTCTAAACTACTAATGAAGCTAGGGGGAGCTGAACACATTCAGCACCTCCTAGGATCAGACCCTTAGTCAGGAAGGTTTGCACTGAAGAAACAATGTCAACTCAAGACTGGCCAACCCTCCTTATACACAAGTTTCTATGTACCCAATGCCCACAGAAATGCTTCCATTCCT